CATCCTCTTTAGAAGAGCTTTTGTCTTTTCGTCCATATTGCTGAGGTCGATATGCAACTGAAAAAAAGAGCGCTGCCAGTTTTATATGGAGAAGGATACTAATAAAACCTACATAATGGTTATGGCTTTGCTTCCCACTAGAGTTTGGGTTTTCTGTAGACGTTACGTCGCCGTAATCGTCATCATTTTCATCGCCATCATAATCCTCGTCGGCGCCTTCCTTTTCATAGTCGCTGTCTTGATTATTACCCTGCTCGCCACCTGCATCTCCTACATCGTCTCTTCCTGTTATTGCACCGCTATCGCCTTCAATTAATTCTAAATCATAGTCATCTTTCTCCTTGTCACTAACTTTCTTTTTCTTTTTGAGCAACTTTCGCGCTTGCTCTAGATGCCTGGCTAAACTCTCGTAGAAATCTCCGTCATCTTGTTTCATCACTTCATCTTCACCGTCGCTTCGCTCTACGATTTCTTCTACTGCTTTAGCGCGTACGCGACCATCTCGATCAGGTGTATGCCGCTGATTTCTGTCGCTGCTGCTCGTTCGTTTAGAAATCTTTCCATTTCCCAAGTCAGACGTCATTTGGACACCACGTTTTCGGATTTCCGCTCTTTCCTCATCGTTCAATTTGATGCCCGCATCTTCACCGTTCTTCTTTTCTATCCCAGAAATCTCTGTTTGATTTAGGTTTGGTGCTATGCTTTCCGTTCTCGTTGTGGCATTGGAGACGCCAGCGGACCCGAGACTTCTGTGAGTAACGTTTCCATCTATGTACTGGCTGATCAACAACAGTAAGGCAAGAACTTTCATTGATGGGCATAAACTGGAAATGAGTCTGACTCCCCCACTTCTTAAATAGGGGCTGCATCAGTATCAGTATCAACTCATCGCGATGATGGATAATGCAGGTTGTTACACGATTCCTCGACTTCTTTTCACTGCCATTATTCTCCATTTTTACTATATAAGACCAGTTTTTATGCACAGAACTCTTTACTTGCTTTAAAACCCAGTTTTTAAGTCACTCAATTTTCCTTTTACTTTTATTTTAGGAATGAAATGTCACGTCGACAAATTTGCAGCATTTATGAGACTAGCTGGCACACCCATCCACGCCCTGCCAACCGCTATCCGCCTTTAAGTTTTGCGGTCCTTTAAACCTCATCCGTAGATAACTTATAATTGGGCAACTTTGGTCAATAACCACTGTAAATTGTCCTTTCCTACTATTAAGGTTGACGTTACTTTCTTCAAGGAGTGTAGAACTTTGAATTGCCGTCATTGACTGCGCATTTTTCAATGGTATTCGTTGTAGACGAGCCAACGCGATCCCCAATCGCTGCTAGCCGATCGCTGTGTCGGGACTTTACTTTTCATCGTCGTACTTTACGTAGTACTGCCTATGCATAATCAACACCTATTTAAAAT